TAAAACTTGACAGTGCTTTTAATATTTAAAATATGTAATTAATTAACTATCTTTTAATATTAAATTAGCTTATACTGGCTTATAGTATTAGATTTCTATATGAGAATTACAAGCTAAATTTTTTTTGTAATGTCTTAGGTCGGCTATACATATTTAAACAAATTTGTCAAATATGCTTGCGCAAGCTGCTTGTGTGAATTTATTTAAACGCATATGTCAGAAAATTGCACAATTATTTTATCTTGCACAAATGACTTTTCTGACACACACGTTCAAATAAATTTGCACAAACAATTTGCAAAAGAGTGCCTATATTTGACAAATTACATTTGTTTTCCCAAAATTGTATATATATAACACTTCTGAAAATATTCTCAATAAATTTTTTTTAGAAAAGTATCACAAATCGTAGAAACTAAAAAATTAAAAAAGCATGTAGACTGCAGGCCTGCAGCCGAGTTGCATATTTTTTTTTTTTGCTTATCGTCGTCCCCACCCTTTTTGTTTCATAGCATTTAGACCGTGCGCGGAGACATAAAACGCTCGAACTCAAGGATGATATTAGTCATAACTCATACAGGGCATTGTAGGGCTATAAGACTTGGAAATATTGCCTCACATTTACAAATTTTAACACACACGCACGCACGCACATACATACACACTTTTTAAATCTTTTTGTTAAATTGTGAAATATTTAAAAAGAGAAAAAATTTTTTAAAATTGACGATTTGAAAATTTCACAGATCCGTATATGTAGTATAGTTCTACTATTAAGTATCAGTGAGTGTGTTAGTCGAAAACTTCTCACTTTTACTCCTGGATATTTTGCCACTTCTTTTGCAAGTAAATGATACGGGAAAGGACAGAGCTGCTCGATTCGGATAATCGCTATTTTATCTTCTAATTGTTGTTCCTGTCGTTCGACGACTAAATCGTAGTACACTTTGCCGGTACAGAGCAATACTTTCTTCACCTTTCCGGGCTTCAGGAAAAGATCCGGTAGAACAGCCCTAAAGCTCGTATTCGGTCCCATTTCCTCGAAATTCGATATCGCCATTGGGTGACGCAGCAATGATTTAGGACTCATAACAACCTAAATGACGTGTATACAATAAATCGGATTTGAGATTGTTATAACGGATAAACACAAAAATCAAAACAATTTATTATGTGTGACGTTAGAGATAAGCCTTAAAAAAATTTGATTAAGCATCTTAGAAAATTCTTGATAATATAAATTCGATGAAATAATTGAATTATCCATAATTGCGCTCGTGACATGTGCGTAAAAATTGAAGGACTGGGAATACTTGGGAAACAACAATAATGGCAATTTGGTAGTTGTAGCGGTTAATGTGGCTAGCTCTTTTGCTATCGCCTTGTAATTTACGTCGGTAAAAACTAGAAGATACGAATATACCTATGTAATGTTAAGTTACTCAGTCGACTCGCGTACGCGGGTATGTTTTGAAGAATCTTGTCGTTCATTGTCACGCAATGAAATATTTTGCGAATCGCGTAAAATGGTATGTATAGTGTAACTAGACATAAAGAAAATTTTTGGATTCAATCTTATAAGCCAATATCTCTGAAAATACTAAGAAAAAAAATATTACAAGCAAAAAGCATGAGGAAAATATTTAGTGATGGATTTTAGTAATTTTTTTTCGTATTTTTAAAAATTATTAATTATTATTATATTAAAGGATCAGTTTAATCACACATTTACATAATTTTTCTACATAACGTTATAAAAAAAAAAAACAGAATTTACTGCCTCAAATTCCTAACCAAGAATATGTATTACCAGTGTTTTCTTATTATAATTACAAATGTATAAATTTTATGTTAAAAAATTGATCGATGTTTATTTAAAAGTAAAATAGTGTAATGTGCCACTAGACATTAATTTTTGGATTCAATTTTATGGGCCAATATTTCTGAAAATACCGAGAAAAAAATATTACAAACAAAAAGCATGAGAAAAATATTTAGCGATAGAAAATATTTAGTAAAAGTGCTTGCGAATATTTTCGAGGGTATTGTCTCGTAACAATGGTGACGAGTACTCCGCGTAAATGAAGACTGAACTAACCAACGGTTTGCGAAACGGCATCAATATTTGCCGGCGCAGAATATGAAAGAGACTGGCAGGTGTCGTGGGATAACAGACGATCCAATTTATCTCAAAAAGCTGTCTTGTTATGATTTGCTCGACGGTTTCACCGGCGGGAGCATCAGGCTCCGTTCCGGGCACGTGAGTACACTCGTCGTCGCATAGTTGAAGAAATCTCTCCAATCTCGCGGATGAATGTTCCGGCCCCTGGCCCTCCAAACCGTGAGGCAATGACAGTACCAATCCTGACTGCCTACCCCATTTGGATTGTCCGGAACATAACAGGCAGTCTATTATAGCCTGAAGATCAATTGAAGCTACATGTGGCACATATTTTTGTAAAATATCGCGATTATTTTTTCGGAATAATAAATACGGAGATTGATGCTTCATTTAATTTTAACTTTAATTAGAAATTTAATTAAGAGGAGAAAATTACTTATCGAGACGCTAAAAATAAAATTATAATAAAGTAAGAAAATCAAATTTCTGCTAAAGAGAAAGCTGTAATCGTTAAAGTTACCTGACAGTTATTGGCAAAGTCGCCGAATTGTGCTTCCCAGATTGTCAGAACATTATGATTGTACGATGAGTATCCCAGTTCGAAACCTTTTCTCGCCAAACATTCGTAAGATATTAATAATTAAAGCTGCCATGAGTTATTCATTATTTATTAAATAAATCTCTAGTATTGTATAAATCTCAATACATGCTATCTGTATTTATTTTATTACCTCTATACTGAAAGAAAAGGCTGAATATAGCATAGTATTCTTAATTAGTTGTAGCAGCCAATTTTTTGGTATATTAGTCTATCGAAATACTAACATTGTAGATAAGCTAACGTAACCAACAATTGGCTGCTGCAACCAAAAATTAGCAGCCAATTAAAAATGCTATGCCATATTTTACCATCCAATTTGCTGCAGCAGCCAATCTTTTCTTTCAGTGTAATACATTACTCGCGTGGAGTATTTTTGATTTCCTAACATTATATATCTCAATTTTTTTTATTTTCTTTAATTTACAATTTAATAAAGATTGATAAAATATATAATATATTTTA